CTCACGTTGGCGCTGAGCGCGGGCGAGCCCTGGTCGCGGGCCTGCAGCGTGAGCTCAAAGGTGCGCAGCTGCTCGTGGTCGAAGGCACGCTGCGCGAACACCACTCCGCTCTGTGCACTCACGGACACGTAGGACAGCAGCTCTCTAGGCTCCAGGTCGCTGGCCACGATGGAGTATGAGACTTGGCCATTGGGTCCCAGGTCAGGGTCAGAAGCTCTGACTTGAGCAATGGAAGCTCCCGGAGGATTGTTCTCAGCCACGTGGACAGTGTAGGAGGCCTGCTGGAAAACAGGTGCGTTATCGTTGACGTCAGTTATGTGCAGAGTGATGTAGGTACTGGAAGAAAGAGATGGCTTCCCTCTGTCTGCGGCAGTAATGGTGATATTGTACTCCGGGTCCTGTTCTCTGTCCAGGGCTGCATCTGTCACTAGCTTGTAGTAATTTTTAGAAGAAGAATCAATTTTGAAAGGAAAGCCTCTTTCTATATCACACGTGACTTCTCCATTTTCTCCAGAATCCCGGTCCCGCGTTTTGAAGAGGGCAACAACCGTTCCAGGAGGGGAATCCTCCAAGATCTGATCAGACAGAGAAGTGATCACTATTTCAGGGCTGTTATCGTTTTCATCTAGAATTTGTATGATTACTTTACACTGGGTAGAGAGACCACCTCCGTCCCTCGCTTCCACTTCCATGGTGTATCTTTCTATATCTTCGAAATCCAGCGATTGGTTGTTCCTAAGCATCCCTGTTTTTTCATCCAATAAGAACATGTCTTTTGTGCGCTGGGGAGTGCTCCGGAAGTAGTAGTTTATCTCTGCATTGACGCCCTCGTCTTCATCAGTGGCTATTACTTGCAACACGGAAGATCCAGGGAGCAGATTTTCACTAAGACTTATTCTATATTCGTCTCTGGTGAACTTCGGAGGGTTGTCATTTGTATCCCTTACAAAGATTTCTATCTGAGCAGTAGCACTTCGCGGTGGGTCCCCTCCGTCCAGAGCAGTCAGAATCAAGCGATGAGATCGCTGCTCTTCCCTGTCTAAGAGTTTCTCCAGTGATAACTCTGGGTATTTTTCACCATCGGAATTAACTCTAACCATTAATGAGAAATAAGGGTTGGGGCTTAACTGATAGTCTTTAACTGAGTTTAGGTTTGTGTCGGGGTCAGTGGCAGGGTCAAGAGATATTCGTGCACCAGGGGATACAGATTCAACAACTTCTAAATGTATTTCCTTTTTATCGAATTGAGGAGCATGGTCATTAATATCTTCAATCACTACAACGATATGAAAAATATTTAA